CTCTTCCCTCCCAACTCGTGTATCATTGCTGCAATTCACTTCATTATGTTATAATCACTGAACGTATTGTTGTTATTATGAAACACATTATGTTATCTGTTAGGTCAATTAAGAGTAAGAAAAATAATCCTGGCTGGTGTGGCTAAACTGGTTGGAGTGAGTGAAATCCCATAGATCAAGATGTTGTGGGTTCGAATCCTGATCAGGGCACATATGTAGGCAGTAGGTACAGTCCCCGGTTAGGGCACATACAAGAGGAAACTGATCAATGTTCCTCTCTCACACCGATGTTTTTCTCCCTCTTTTTCTGCCCCCCTTTCCCTCTCTCTAAAATCAATAATGTCCTCGGGATAGGATATAAATAAACAAAGTCAATTTAAAAATAAGAAGAAAAGTAAATTTTTATTTTACCTTTACTTATTATTTCTCTAGCATTGCTCCTTTTTTATAACATAGATCCAAGATTCTGGTCTACACAATTTTCCCTCTCTGACAAATTTCCTTCAACATGGCCTGCAAGGCAGAACCACTGCCAACAAATTCTCTGAAATTTTGTTTACCTAAGTGTAACAGAGGGCTCAGTCTTTGACTCCATGCTGTTGGGCCTTGTTTTTTCTCCTAGCCTTCAGGCTAATAGCTCCTGCTTTCGACATGCTAATTATAGAGGAATTCTGCTTGGGGCTTGAGTTTTTACAAAACAGCCCCTCCCATTTTCCCTTCCCTTCATTTAAAAGAAGCCTGAACTTTGTGTTGCCTAAAACAGACTGCAGAATCTGCAAGCACCTCCCTCTTCTCAAGCTGGTGCCTTCTCAATTAATAAACTCTTCCTTACTCTAAACTCTCACATTTTGAACATTGGCCTTTTTGAAGCTGTGGGCACACAAAGTTTTAGACTGGTAACAATTCTTTATTCTCATTCACCTCTGAAGGATAATTTTGTAGGACACAGAATGCTAGATTGTTGCAGGCTTTGTCTCAAAATTTAAATACTGAACTGTTCTTGTTTGCGTGGTCGCTGAAGTCAGATACAATTCTTACTTTTGCTTCTCTATAGATAAGGTGGTTTTATGCTCTGCCTCTGTCTTCTTTTAAGATTATCTGTGTGTTTGATTTTCTGTACTTGTAAGGTGATATGCCTAGCTGAAGTTTTTGGGGCACATACTCTCCTTGGTGTTCTCTGACCTTCCTGGATATGTGACTTGAAATCTGACATTAATTTGGGGAAATTCCCAATCATTTTTGCTTCAAATTACCTCCTTTGTTCCTTTTACTCATTCTTCCTCTGGTATTCCCATTATGCATATGTTACACTTTCGGTAGTTGTCTCACAGTCCTTGAATATGTTTTCTTCTGGGGTTTTTTTTTCCCCCCTTAGTCATTTTTCTCATTGACTTTCGTATGTCTATTGACCATCTGCACATCCCTTTTGAAGAAGTATCTATTCAGGTCCTTTGCCCATGTTTTAATGGGACTGTTTGTTTTTTTTTGGTGTTGAGCTTTGTAAGTTCTTTATAAATTTTGGATGGTAACCCCTTATCAGATGTATCACTGGTGAATATTTTCTCCTCTTCAGTGGACTGTCTTTTCATTTTGTTAATGGTTTCCTTTGCTATGCAAAAACCCTTTAGTTTAATGTAGTTCCATTTGTTTATTTTTCCTTTTGTTTCCCTTGCCCAAGGAGATATATCAGGAAAAAATTGCTACAAGAAATGTCAGAGATTTTACTGCCTATGTTTTCATCTAGGATTTTATGGTTTTCAGTCTCACATTTAAGCCTTTAATCTATTTTGAGTTTATTCTTATGTAGTGTAAGAAGGTGGTCTAGTTTCACTTTTTTTGCATGTATCTATCCAATTTTCCCAACATCATTTATTGAACAGACTATCTTTAGCCCATTGTATGTTTTTGTCTCCTTTGCCAAATGTGAATTGGCTATAAAGCCAAGGATTTATTCCTGGACTCTACTCTGTTCCACTGATCTCCATGTCTGTTTTTATACTAGTGCCATGCTGTTTTCATTACTATGGCCTTGTAGTATAGTTTGATATCAGGTAGTTTGATTCCTCCAACTTTGCTCCTCTTTCTCAAGATTGCTGTTGCTATTTGGGGTCTTCCGTGGTTCCATATGAATTTTTGGAATATTTGTTCTAGTTCTGTGAAATATGCCACTGGTATCTTTGATAAGGGCAAGATGATTTAAGAGGAACAGCCCAGCCAGAGACCCCCTCCCAGGTTAACTGTTAATCATTGCTTATCTGTTTCTGTAGCCCGTTTTCACATCCCTTCCCCCGCCTGGGTAGCACATCAATCTCCCATCTGAATGCTAATCCCTTCCCCCACCTGGGAAGCCCATCCGTTTCCCACCAGAATGCTAGGGCTTATAAACCCCTATCTAACCCCGATTCGGGGCTCAGAATTTGGAGACTGCCTCCTCTGAGCCCGCGCGTGTGAATAAAGGCTTACTCTGTTCCCTGAATCGTGTCTTGAGTCTGGCTTTCCGTAACATCTTGATAGGAATTGAACTGAATCTGTAGATCGCTTTAGTAGTATAGATATTTTAGTGATGTAAATTCTTCCTGTCCATGAACATGGTATATGCTACCACTTATCTGTATCTTCTTCAATTTCTTTCTTCAGTGTCTTAAAATTTTCTGACTATAGGTCTTTTACATTCTTGGTTAAATTTATTCCTAGGTATTTCATTCTTTCTGAAGCAATTGTGAATGGGATTGTTTTCTTAGTTTCCCTTTCTGATAGGCCACTACTGGCATATAAAAATGCAACTGATTTCTGGATATTTATATTGTATCCTTCTACTTTACTGAATTCCTTTATCAGTTCTAGTAGTTTTTTGGTGGAATCTTCAGGGTTCTCTATATAAAGTATCATGTCATCTGCAAATGTCAGTTATACATCTTCCTTTCCAATTTGGGTGTCTTTATTTCTTCTTCTTGTCTGATTGTTTTGGCTTGGACTTCCAACAGTATGTTAAATAAGAGAGGTGAAAGTGGACATCCCTGTCTTGTTCCTGATCTCCAGGAACTCCTGATGGCAGAACTTAAGAAAAACAAAATGCCTTGGCACATTTCCAAATGGTTACTTTCCCCTCCCCTAGAGAAAGCACTAGGGGATTTTTCTGACCCCCCTGCTCTGACACACCTAAGAAGATGTGTTGATCTTTCAGTCTGTTCAGTGTTCTACTTGTTGTTAGATGAGAGTGGTAACTTCTAAAAGCTCCTTAAATGATGAACTGAAAACCACAAAAGAAAATTTCTATTTTCAACCTTTAATAATTGATAAAGTGATAATGCTCCTATAGTACTGAGAGGAAAAAATGCAAATCTGAATGTCTCAATGGCATACAAATTTCCTAAAATATGATTAAGCATAGTGTTCACCCTATATATAATGCTAAAACGTAAGCTATTAAGTAATACACTTCATCCTTTCTGAAGCAATTAAAATGGGACAATCAAATATTGTAGAAATCATTATTACAAACTACTGTATTTCCTAAATAAACACCTAAATATTGAGTTTCCATTAAGGACTTAAAAAAATCAATCAGGGCATACTGCAATTCACTGATTACCCTTAGTGCTCAATTAATCTGTAAAAAATAAAACCTATTTCTTAATTCCTAAAATAGCATTATAATCTCTTCTGAACTAGTTTAAGTTTTAAGATTCTTCCTGTGGAAGAAAAAAATCAGTAGAAAGCAAAAGTCTGTATGTGAAATTTGACATTCAGGTGCCAAATTCCCAACATTTGCTAAAATTGTGGAATTAACCTGTATCAAACTTAATTTCCTTAGGACATCTTTATCCACTGTAGAGTGCTTTCTGTTCTTATAGCAATAAATAGTTAAATTTTTTTCAATATCACACTGTAAAACAGCTCATTACTTTTATATTACCAACTTAAATTCTATTCAACTGAGATTTATCATACTTAACCAAAAGCATGCTGGTTAAATAAGATGAACATATCTAATTCACCTTAAGGAATTTAAAGTATGTTGCAAAATAAGTCTCCAAACATAGCAAAAAATGCAAGAATGGCCAAACCCAATGGAACATATTAGTATTACTTCACTTTACACATATGCAAATTTTATTTTATTATTTCCATGTCTTCAATGCATTAGGTACAAAAGACATTTCTGAGCCCTATATACATGAACAGATGGTGTAATGACAAAATTAGGAGCTAGGGTAACATCTTATGGAATTATTAATAATCTTGTTCTTCAGTCAGAAGATAGCTACAGACTTGAATAATTTTCCTACAAGTATAATGAAGAGTTAAGGTGAGATACTTGTACATGGGAGATGATTTGGGAATGGTCACAAAAAGAACTGGGAAATGTGACCTCAGTAACAAGTGAAATATATAAAAGCTCCTAGAAAAAAGATTAATCAGCCCCAAAACACAGTTGTCAAATAAGAATGAAGATGGATGCTCATGAAAGATAGAAAAGAATGCTCTAAAAAAAATTCCACACTTAATCTGCTAAACATAAAATATATTCCTGAAACCCCAAAACAAAGTCAATATCTAAGTATTGAAACTAAGACTTAGTATCTGAAATAATTTCTAGTTAAAGTAATAACCAAAAAAAAAAATCCAATTATATCAGTTCACAAGAGATAAATGAAAACATCAAAAGCAAAATACAAAAAAATTAAAACTTAGTCATGTTTGGTGGTTACATATGTAAAAACAAACTATTAAGGTAAGAATAGCTATGTAAAAAAAGACAAGAGAACCTAGCAAATAAAGCACAGAATGTAGTCCTGCTTCAAAAAAGTCAGGATGCTTAGAAAGTCAGTGTGTCATCTCTAGAGCTCAAATAATAGTCTCAGTGGAATCTTTTGAGAAAATGAGACAGCATCAATAAACAATATAGTGTTTTCTGAACCCAAAGAGAAAGGGTTTACTAATTTTTAAAAAGAGAAAACTAACAAAGTTATTTCAATAATAACTGAAAAGTGGCTTACCTTCATTCCCCTAGAACATATGAAGCTGACAAAACCACATGATATTTCCAAAGAAAGATATTATTGCTTGAATCTGGGTCACTGAAATTATAGACTGTTCAAATGAGACAAAAGAAAGGGGTAACACTAATTATCTACAATTATACATTTTCTTTGTTGATATAGCTCATATAAAACCTCCTAAGGCCATTCAAATGAGATACTTGTCTCTAGGTTTAAGTCCTCCAGGGATAGCTCCTTTGAAACAAAGACTGGATAAATAATTAACTCTATTTAAACAATTCTTGATCACTCGAAGTCTACAGGACTTTTTTTAATTAAAAAAATTGTTCTTTACTATGTACCATTATTACCTCACTTAAAATTTTTTTCCCTAAAAAAAGAATATTAAAATTCAGAAAAAATGGGGGAGTGGGGAGCAGGATGGGGGACAGGACAGGAATATCCACACAGCTTCAAGGACAAAAAGCATGCCCCACACCAAATCGTATTTACAGTGCCTCATCTAGAATTCAACTAACATACAACTGCAGCAATCAGCCAAACTTAGTAAATTAAAATAACAGTAATTTTGACAGATTACCTTCTATAAATATTCAAATATGGACATTTGTGTGCATGCAAGGGTTTCTATGTGCCAGTCAAAATGCTTTGTTTTTTTCACCCACTTTTCCATAGGAATCCCCTGAATTGTTAACTTCCATTTTAACCCTTTCACCTCACCTGAAAAAGGGACCAATCAGTTCTCTACTTATAGCCTGAATTATTATTCCTTGCCTGAATTAAAAATTTAAGGATAACATTCATATAAAGAATCAACAGACAGAAAGTACTTAGGATCTTTGCAAATCTGTCTGTAAAGATAAAAGGAAAGACCCAATAAGGGTGGAAGAAGTGGGCAGAGACAGGCTCTTGAAGGATGGTAACTGAAGAAGAGATTAACTTTTTATTTATGTAGTCACGTATGCCTTGAGGTATAGTAAAATCCAAATGCAAAGAACAATTAACAACTTCATAAATTTGGGCTGCATTCAGAGTTCCATTAAGATAGACTACCACCCTGGCTGGTGTAGCTCACAGGACTGAGCACCGGCCTGTGTACTGAAAGGTCACTAGTTCAATTCCCAGTCTGGGCATGTGCCTGGGTTGCGGGCCAGGTCCCCAGTTGAGGGCATGAGAGAGGCAACCAAGTGATGTTTGTCTCCCTCTCTTTCTCCTTCCCTTCCCCTCTCTCTAAAAATAAATAAATAAACTCTTTTTCAAAAAACCAGACTACCATTTATTTGGCTCATGTCAAGACTCTAAACTTTTAATAACAAGCTTAAATATATAAAAGTGTCAAAAGTGGGGAAATAGAATTATAGTTGATACTTATATAACATGGGTTTAAACTGCACTGGTCCACATATATGCAGAGTTTATTCAATAAATATTGTAAGTTTGTTTTCATTTATGATTTTCTTAATAACAGTTTCTTTTCCCAGGCATACTTTATTGTAAGAATATAATATGTGATATATATAACATAAAATATGTGTTAATCCACTGCTTTGCTGTCAATAAGTAGTTAAGGTTTTGGGGAGTCAAAGTTATACACAGGTTTCTGACATTGTTTAAGGATCAACTGTAATATGAAATTCAAACCAAATGCAATTTTTGAATCCACAGATAGCCTATTTAATCAAGGCAAGACATCTGACGAATGGATTTGCTCCTTGTCCTTCTAGTCTATTTCCTGTAAGTCACTTTCCATTAAACATATACACAGTTATTGAAACTATGTATCCAGGATAACATCTAAATTATGGAAGAGAAGTGAACTTATTCAGAGGCATATGCCCTTCTGTTCCCACCTGGAAAGAAACAACTATTAATGCCTCTACTAAGATTCCTCAAAATCTTAGAAAATTTCTTTCAAAAACTTCTAGAAAATTAGGCAGGCTGCTAGAAACTCTTACTTTATGATTTTACCGTAGGCAGTTAACTAGTTATTAGAAAGAGAGCAAAGGGAATTAGACACCAAGTTTAATAAACTGGGGAGCATAGCCTGTTTGCTTAGCCAGAAGGCTATAGCATTTACAAACTCCTTCACAAACCCCATGGGACAATCCTCAGAGCACAGAAAATCTCCCCAGCAGCACTGTCAGCCTCCAGCACTGAACTGTTGGGGGTTGCAAGGAGAGATCCTTGAGCATAGAGGTCTGTCAGTCAAAATAGGGAGTGTGGACCTATCATAAGTCCACAAAAGCTTGGGTAGTTCATTTTTTATTTTGAAAAAGCTCCTGGTTATAACCCCAGGGGAACAAAGAAGACATCTCTCTCTTTCTCTCTCTCACACTCACCCATGCGCTCACATGTTTTCTGTCCATAACCATGTGGCCCCAACAGATTCTAAACATAGGCCCCAGGTGGGAGCCTGGATGCAACAGCACAGCCAGGAACACAGGCTTAGCTAGTCAGATGATGAGAAAGACTAGCCTGAATTAGCCTTGGCATGCACAGGATCTCTGGACATTGGCTCTATATCTGGCCCTGATTTTCCATGGTGGGATGGATAGAAATGGGATATGGGGAACCCAGGAGAGGCACTCTTTTGATTTTGCATCAAGCACCCAAATAAATCTTATCACCAGATCTCATCCTCCCTTGTGGATCCCTTAAAATGCTTTTTCTAATGACACCACAAGGACTCCACTTCCATCAGCAGTATGATCACTCACCATTCAAAGCCAGTTCCCAAACCCAGTTCAAACCCAGTACCCAAACCCAGTGCCAAAGTGCATCAAAGCCAGATCAGTGGTTCTCAAAGCACAAAAGAGAGAAGTCTTCTCTAGGGACTAGTAGCTTCAGCCTTCCCTGAGGGCTTATGAGAAATGCAGAATCTTTGGCCCTATCCAGGGACATATTCAATTAGAATCTGCATTTTAACAAGATCCCCAAATAATTCATATGCACTTTAAAATCTGAGAAGCTCTTATGGAAGAAGAATATATTAGAATCAGAAGAGTAAAATCAGTTCGAAGACTAGTTCCCACTGCAGGTCACTGTTTGGCCACTAAGCAACCAATTTTTAATCTCTGGTTTATAGCATCCTTATTCCTCCCACAATTTTTTTCTTTATTTTTTAAATAAAGAATCTTGAAAAACAGAAAGTCCTTGACACCCAAAGAAATGTGTATCTGACTAAATTGCAGGTCCCAAGAAAGACCATGACAAAGTAACCTTACAACAAGTGGTCCCGTCTCATGCCCCCAAATCACGTTAATTAAACTAATTAATTTTAAAATAATAATAACTCCTCTCATTCCACATGCTGGACACTAAAATCATGTGGGATCCCAGTGACTAAAAAAGGGACCAAAACACCAAACGCCTACGCTGTCATGTAAGCAGGGAGGAAGGAGAAGGCTATATCTGCTAGTTATTCAGTTATTGTCTCTCAGCTCCAAATTCACCCTTCAATACTCAGCTCAGTAATGCTAAAAACAGAAGTCTGGAAATGATTTTTCTCTTTTGCCAGCTAGCTTTCTCACACTCCCAGTAAGGGCACTACACGCTTGCTTTTTCCACTCAGCATAGCCCCAGCATAGGCCCTCAATCTCAGTAACGGCACTCTCAGAAGTACCCCTCAGAAGTATCAGCAACATCCAAGCAGTACCCCCTCCAAAGGTATTGAGCCCCAAATCTACTTCAAGTTCTTCTTTGTTCCCCAAGCCCGATGGGTGGTTGCTGCTTTCTGCAATTATTGTCTGTTATTCCAGTGTTCCCCTTTTGCTTTGTAAGCCCTCCAACAACTATATAACCCATTGCCCATATTAAAATTTTCTTGATCTTTCTAGTATGGATTATTTCCCTGTCCAGACTCTATCTGATACATCATGAATAGATGGAATAAAATTCATCATGATCTTGCACTTTGGAAAACTGTTTTTCTGAAACATGACCATCCATGAGAAAATATTTACTGCTTCTCCCCCAAAATATAGATGCACAATAGGACATGTATGCAAGAATTACAGCTGAGAAAGAAGGCAGAGGGAACACAACCTAAGAAAGTAATACACTGAAAAAAAAAAAAAAAACCATGGTAGAAAACACGTTAGTGCCCAAAAACATAAAGAAAAGGCCAAGAAAAAGTCTAAAACAAAATAAGTCCCTCCCTTAAATAATAAAAAATCAGAGTTTGAGAAGTGCATGGAACTTTATTCTTCTGCCACTGCCATTGTTCAGCTTGTTAAAGCATTTTTTTACTGAGTTCAAATTACTATACTTTCAGGAAACTGTTGAGAAACTAGGGAAATCCCAAAGATCTCAAAAATGATGAAAGCAACAGAAAATAAGTGGCAACCTGAAGAAAGGTTCAATGAGTCAAACATTTTAGGCCAGTCTAGTAAAAAGAAAACTTCAAGCCAACCAAATAACTGCCTCCCAGTCTAAGAGTTCTGACCAACTATGCTTTATCATCCCTACAGGTGTTTAAAATGATAGAATAAATGATAAATGATAAATGAAAATGATAAAGTAAATAAAGATATAAAATGTACCTTCTTAGCTTACTGACTCTCCTTAAAATCACTAAGGCAGTAACTCTGCATGCTCTTTACACAGAAGAATGACCTAGAATATTTTTTACAAAAATGATGATGATGATGATGACTAGAGTATTAATCCAGAGATCTAATTTAACTGGCCTGAGATAAAACTGAGGCATATTTTTTTAGAAAAAAAAATACCCAAGTGTTTATAGCGTACTGACAAAAGGACTGAGACCCACTTAATGGAATATCCCATAACTTTACTACTCAAGGTATGGTCTAAGGACTAGCTACATCCAGATTACCTAGAGAGATTGTTAGAAGGCAGCATCTCAGGCTTATTCCAAAACCTTTAAGACTCTACATGTTAACAAGATCCCCAGGTAATCTGTATGCACATTAAAGTTTAAAAACACTGTTTTATTACAATTGGAAAAGACTGTATCTGTGTGAGTTCAAATTCCAGCCAAAAAACAACTTCCTAAATTGAATTTTTTCTAAAGTCTTAATTATCATTTTTTTTTTTTTACTTTTAGAGTCTATTATAGCTTATTGGGAA